AGTCATGACCGCCACTAGCTCACTGATAAGCACAGCTGAAACAGGTAATGCGCAGCCCAAGATGCCAGACGCGATGATCCCAACGATAAACGTTTTCCGTTCCGGACGACTGAATGCGATCGCGTCGAAAATTGTGAACTTGGACATAGTTTCGGCTGCCTGAGACTCAACCTCGCAGTTGGTGAAGCCAGCATCATCGTTAACAGAACGGCTACTAACACGTCGTGGTAGGCCCCGTTGGATGTCTTCATCGTTGACTGATGTTGTCACTGCTTCAGCCTCCTCTTGAGCTTTCTCTTCTTGGATTGTGTACAACTTGTTGTAGATTCCATCCTCAATTGTCACCAACTCATCGTGGTTTCCTTCCTCGACTACGTGACCACCATTCACCACGACGATCTTGTCTGCGCGGCGAACAGTACTCAACCGATGAGCGATCACCAGCGTCGTCATGCGAGTCTTGTCCATCAAATCGTTCAAAGCTGCCTGAACCACTCGCTCGCTCTCTGCATCTAGTGCACTTGTCGCTTCATCCAGTACCAAAATCTTTGGTTCACGCACAATCGCTCGAGCGATAGCTACACGCTGCTTCTGACCACCCGACAATGACACTCCCTTCTCACCTACCAGTGTATCGTACTGTTCCGGTAACGACATGATGAAATTGTGGGCGTTGGCCAGTTTTGCCGCTGCCATCACCTGGTCACGAGAGATTTCATTTCCACCCGCTGCGATGTTCTCAAAGATGGTAGTAGCGAACAGCACAGGCTCTTGCGATACGAGACCGATCTGTGACCGTAGCCATTTCACGTTCAACGTCTTGACATCTCGTCCGTCCAGCAAGATAGAGCCTTCTTGAGGGTCGTAGAAGCGCTCAAGCAGCGAGATGAGAGTACTCTTACCACCTCCACTCGCACCAACAAAGGCGACAGTCTGACCAGGTTCAATGGTGACGTTGTAGTCGTTCAGAATCTGCACATCCGGCCGACTGGGGTACGTGAAGTTCACGCCTGTAGCTTGAATACGACCAAGACAAGACTCCGGCTTCTCTCCTTCGTTGTCTTTGGATGCATCGATGGCAGATGGTGTGTCCAAGATCTTGTA